AGATGGGCAGGGTTTGGAAATACCTGAGAAGGAATTCAGAAAAGTGATTATAAAATGTATCAAAACAGTATACAATGGAGTTGAGGAAAACAAGGAAGAATGCAGGAAAGTGCGCCAGGAACATTCAAATAAGATAGATACTGCATTGGAAACAATTCAAAACTTACAGAAAGAGGTCCAAACGATAAATGATAGAATATCAGAAATGGACAATACACTGAAAGGGCAGAGGATAGAAGTGAAGAGATAGAAGCCAGAACTAGTGAGTTAGAAGATAAATCTCTCAACCCCAAACAAAAATGTCAGCATGACAGGCTATTACAAGAATAAGCATGCTGTTCTCCAGGAAGCTATCAAGGCAAGCAATCAAGTTCCTTCAGTGGACAAACTCCCCACTAAGACTGAAACTCAAAGGGAACACATGAACAGGCATGTAAGCTTGCTGGCGACCACACTGGTCTACTGCTGAGGGGAAGAGAGGGAAAGGCAGCAATGAAGAAATGGGCTGAATTCAACCACAGTCCATTAACTCCCGTGGACCTGGAGATGAGAGAGAGAAGAGGAAGGGCTGGTTGGTCCAAAGTGTGGTGAGACCTGGGAACACTTGAGTCCATGGACAAGGACATAGCCACACAGGGCTAGAGCTGAGAGTGAAGCATCCAGATGATATGAAGTGAGGGGAGATGCATAAGAACACCCAAACTTGCAGACAGTACCCATTTGACCTAGCCTCAATGGATTGATAATCAGAACTCGACTAGAGGAAGATTACAAAACAAATTTTTTTTGGATAAAGGAAACAAGGATAAATTACTACAATTTGATGAACCTGACCTATACTCATGGAGGTAGTAACTCTAAATACCAACAGAGAGGGAAGGAGTCTTCACATCAAGTATCAATGCTATCCCCTCTGTACACAGGGTAGATAGGGATGGGCGACTTAGACATTGGCTACCTAAAATGAGGGGGCCATGAAGTGATTGGCTTACAAGGTTTAAAGAGGGAGCTTAGTTTAAGAGTATGGATGGGGAAGAAAGAGTTCCCAGTGAATAGTTTTCATCTTGTCCAGATGGGTCTGGTGAAAAGAGATGGGGATAAGATTTGTACGATTCAATATTGAATAATTGTTATCATGACTAATTGCAGCTGTCACAATTGTAAAGGTAGAAGTTTTGTAACAAAAACAGGGGAGTGGTTAATCTTACAGTCCAGAAACAGAGAACCCTAGAACCATCAAGGGAGAAGAGCACAAGCAGAATGCGGGACCTTATCCAGAGAAGCAGCGATGCCAGAGACGGAGACAGAGATGGGGACATGCAGAGGGGGAGCAGCTCAGGACTCTAGATTCATGGGAAGAGAGGGACTAAGAGCCGGTGGCCAGGAGGTGGACTTGCAGAATGTGCCCTTTGGAGGTGTAAATTATTATACATGCCTGAGTGTTTTTTGTTTTTTTAAAATAAAGCTAAAGTGAATAGAAAGAAATACTGTTAACTGATGGTACATAGAGGGGATTATAATAATTGTAATGAAAAAAATGTATATGATTTGTTGATGTAAAATTGATGATCTTCCCTGTAAACTTTCACCCAATCCATAATAAAAACCTTAAAAAAATAAAGGAGAATCGACCTTAATGACGTGGGTGGAGTAAAGCTTTTGGGACCTTCATTTGCTGATGGGGCACAACTCAAAATGAAAAGACACAGCCGCAAACGTCATTCAATAATCAAAACATGAAATGCAACAGAGGGTCAGTGAGGAAGATGGTCAATGAGATGGACTGACACAGTGCTGTACAATGGGCTCAAATAGACCACCAACTGTGGGGATGGTGCAGAACCGGGCAGGGTTTTGTTCTGTTGTACACAGGGTTGCTATGAGTCAGAACTGACTCGATGGCACCTAACAACAACAACAATAACATAACAACGTGTAATACTGTTCTTTTACTCTTAGTATTTTTTTTTAAATGTGTTTAAATTTCAAATAGACTAGCTATTGATTTAACTCAAATAAACAAAAGCTCTTTAGAACTCTTGATAAATAAATTTTAAGACGGTAAAACAGGTCCTAAGAACAAACACATTGAGAGATTAGTGAAAACAATGGGTGTGAGTTCTTTGACTCGATGGTACCTAATAACACCCAAAGTTTTTTGGCTGGCCGGAGTGGGTGTGAACAGGGAGAGCAAAGACAGGTCTTGGATATCGTTTTCAATCTCTTCTGAAGAAGGTGTCAAGAAACAGCAACTAAATTAAATTAGAAGATGTAACTCCAACGAGGGTTAATGCGCTGGACTGCAATGTCGCTTTGAACTACAAGGTCGGTGGTTCAAGGAGCTTGAAAGCCCTATGTAAGGTCATTAAGAATCAGAACTGACTCAATGGCACTTAACAACAACAACACAGGATACGCACTATATTGCTAACCACGAAGTCGGTGGTGCAAACCCACGAGCCGTTCCTCGAAAACACTGCATAGGGTTGCTGTGAGTCAGAACTGACTCAATAGCACTTAACAATAATAGCCTGAGAACTACCCCTGAGCGCTTTTAAGTTACACTCACTTCATGTTTCATTTTTCCTTATATGAGTAATAACCAGGTAACCTTTCAATAACAAGTTCACAGGCTGCCCTCTAGACAACCTCCTGCTAGGGCTGGCCAACCATGGCCCTTAGACCAAATCGGCCTACCACCTGTTTGAATAAAGTTTTATTGGGATGCAGCCCTGCCCATTAGCTTGCCTCCTGTCTAGGCTACCTTCACACCACAGCAACAGGGTTGAGGAGTTACAGCAGAGACTGCGCGACATCCAAAGCCTCCAGTATCTCCTCCCTGGTCCTAGCAGAAATTGTTCACCTGCTCCTGTTTGAGAGTCATTTCGTATCTTGGTGAAAAGGGTTGTGGAGTTAAGTGACCTGGATTTGAGTTCCTGCTCTGCCACTTTCTGGCCTCATTGCTTCTACCACAGAACTGGTGAGTTCCTGTCTCAGAGGGTGACTGTGAGGCTGACAGGAGCTAGGGCCTGTGAAGGGATTAGGAAAAGTCCCTGGCACGGAGCAAGCAGTCAGTGGCATTGGCTCCCACTGACTTTTCGCCAAGAGCGTTAGCTAAAGCCCCATGGAGCTGCATTCCCACTTAGGACGTGAGTGTCCAGAGTCAACACGTGGAGCAAACATTAAGCACAAACAAGACCACTCTTGGAAGTCCCTTAGGAAGGTGGCACATCATAAGCAAACATACTGTCTCCCACTAAGTTCAGCGTAGCTGCTTTTCCCTCCAGCCTTTAGAGAAATCCCAGATAACGTCGTTGGCATTTGGGATCATATGACAGGAACACGGGCTACGTATTCCACCACTAGGCTCACACTCAGTGTGCTGACACACACTCTGAAGAGCACAGAGGATGCAGAAGATAGTGGAACTCTGGGGCAAATGCAAGTTGAGCATTGTAGCCCGTTTTTCTCCTGTCTCCCCTCTCCACCCACACAACCACCTTTATTTGAATTATCAGTCATCAGTTGAAAAAGGAAGCAATAGGAACTATTCATAGAGTTGCCATGACAATGAAAGGAGTTATAGCCTGTGCTTGATGACTGGTGCTAACAATTGTTTTTGTTTGAAATTCCAATGTTAACCTCCCATGTGACGTCTGACATGTATGGGTGATTAGGAGAACCAAGCACATCGTACTATTTTGCTTCTAGACAGTGGCTGCGGTTGGGGATTATTTGTGAAAAATCTCCCTAGCGATAAAGATGGTATTATCTCATTGACATGTACTCACCTGGGAGAAAACCAGTAGTTCATGAGGCTGGAACATACCACGTAAGACACGGTGATTGTTCCCGACATGACCAGTGATATGAAGCCCAAGCCACAGAGGACACAAAGCAGTGAGAGGCCGCCCACAGAAATGACCAGTCCTAAAGAGAGGGGCACAGTTAGGAGGTATGGTCATCAAAGACAGTTTGAAAACAGGTAGATCCTGAACCAGGGGATTTCATATAATGGGAAGTTTTTTGTTTCGTTTTGTTTTAGAGAGATATCTCATTAAAAAAAATTTTTTTTTTTAAATTTCAGATTTCTGACATCACTTAAAATCGAGGTGGCCAGGCTAGCCACACAGGTAACATTCTACGGCAATACCGCCCAGTCCTTCAAGCCCCATTCTTCCCAACTGTAGTGCACTGGGCCCGCTCTGACCATCTTTGTGACTTATGCTATGTGTGTGAGTCTGGTCAGGGCTGGGCTTTTAACAGAATCAGTCAAAGCTGTAGCAAGAGAGGTCAATTACTTTTACTATTTCCAACAGCCTAATGCATACTACCATTAATACTTACCTTACAAATCGGACTGCTAACCTCAAGGTTGGCAGTTCAAAACTACCAGCTGTTCCGCGGGAGGAAGATGAGGCTTTCTGCTCCCATTTTTTACAGCCTCAGAAACCCTGTGCAGGGTCACTATGAGTCAGAACTGACTCCACGGTACTTAACAACAAAAACATAGGCTATAGGGAATCCTGGTGTGGTGCTGTGGGTTAATGCGTCAAACTGTAAAGCCGTTTGAACTGCAAGGTTAGCGGTTCAACCTCACCAGACGCTCCTCAGAAACTCTAGACAGTGTTGCTATGAGTTGGAACCAACTCGATGGCACTTAACAATAGCAACACTGGGCTGTCAGTATCAAGGCCATACATGCAAAATAAAACAATATCTCAATGTAGTTTTTGATTATAGCCTTTACAAACCCAGCCTGGCAAGCATTACACGTTCACCTAAGCTCAGATTGACCCTATAGAATCACTACTGAATGAGTCTTTTAGTGGGAGCTTGAATAAGTTACCATCTAACAAGTGCATGGAAAAGACAAGTTTTCTAATGTGGGGTCCATGGAGAAAACAGCAAAAGCTGTCCTGGAAAGCTGCCCATTGGCTTCCACAGTGTATACTCCTGCGTTTGAATCACACTAGGTTGTATGCTGTCTGACTTACGGCTCCTTAGAGCTGTGGTTTGCCGAATCAGTAAGCAGGATACAATAATAACAACCTCAAAGCTCTGACATGGCAGTTAAATGCATTATTGTGCATGTGATGGATGGTGGCTGTTGGGGCTCAGCACACTTTTTCTTTTGCCTCTAACCTCCCTCGTAAGCATTCCCTTTCCAAGATGGTGATTATGGTGTGACAAAATGCCTTCCTCTTGTCTCGGAAGTGCTCAAATGGCCAGCTCCGAGTGTTTCATCCCCCAGAGCGCTACCAGGGTTGCCGGGATGACCCCTGGAGGGCAGGGTGCATCAACAGATGCTCTGTCCTTTCAAAAAGACTTCAGTTCATAAAACTCCTACATCAGCGTTTCTCAAAGTGTGACTGCCAAAGACTTGTTAACAATTCAGGTTTCTGAGTCCCGCTCCAGACCTAGTGAGTAACAGCCTCTGTGTGGACCCCAGATGTCTGCATTTTCAAAAAGCAGGTCAGACTTATGCGCACCTGAGCCCAAGGCTTTGGACTCGCTGTCTGCCTTTCCAGGAGATCCTTCCTTTACCTCTCTAAGATAAAGTTGTTAAGTGCCATTGAGTCGGTTCTGATTCATAGTGACCTTGCATAGGTTTTCTGAGCAGCAGCTGGTGGGTTTGAACCACTGACCTTGTGGTTAGCAGCCCAGTGCTTGACCTACAGTGCCACATCAGGAGTCCAGACAAAGTTTAAACATCTCTTAACTCCCCTATTCTACAGTCTTCCTTGATACCCCTGCTTTCTTTCTAAAATTAATTCTGCTTTGGGGCTCATTCATTCATTCCTCCACCCACCCATTCACTCATCCAGCTATCTGTCCATCAACACTTATTCATAAATAACCACCTGCCTGGCTCATCTGTCTACCACGTCCACCTTCTCTGAGTGTGAAATTCCGTGTCCACAGTCTTCTGTGTAGGGAAACAACCTTGGGTGTTGATCACCCTGAGAAGTCATGGAGTGGATCAAAGACAATTACATGACCTGAGAACAACGATGTCCTGTGGCCTGTGATCTGATCTGAAAAGGCAAACTTAGCCAAGGAGATTTCTTCCTCTGAGATTGTCACACAGAGAGAAGGTGACAATTGGCAGTGGCATTTAGGAAGAAATGGGGAGAAGGTGGAGCCACCCAGCAAGGCACCTGGCGTGCAACAGGTACTTAATAACTAGCTATGGAATGAAGGCCTCTTTGGTTAATAACAATACTAATTATCATTAATAGTTAGCATTCATTCGTAGCTCTTCTCTATCAGGCTCCAGGCTGAGTAGTGTATGGAAATGCCCCCTTATAACAGTTCTCTGACGGACATCACTCCATCCCCACTTTACCCACAGTGAATCTGAGGCTCAGAGAGGATAGTGTAACCAAGACCACACTGGTGGAAATGGCATTGTACTCTAAGCTCCAGAGTCCATTTTTTAACTATTCCCACAAGCCACCTTGGTCACTGTGATTTTGGCAAGAGGAGGAACCTTTCCAAGAATGGCAGATACCCAGTAAATACTGTCCTTACAGTTGAGTAATTCTCCAAGGGGGTGAATAACTGAGCATAATACCTTCCAGTAATATGACTCCCACAAACGCAGCTAGGAAGGAAAGGACCACGAGGAGCAGGAAGAAGCCAACAGGGACAGCTGACATGGCGATGAACACCAGCAAGGAGAGGGTCAGGAAAGGATGACTGTCCAAGTACTGAGCCACAGGTGACTTCATCAAGGCAACCACCTGCGAGCAAAGGAGAAAGAGCCAGGGCTGAATGGCACATCACACTCGCCGGCCCTCGTCTCTGGGTACACCTGCCTGAGGCCCTGCACCCCACATGGAATGGGGCAGCCCAAGGTGTGGGAAGTACAACCAGAGGTCATCAAATTTGGAAAAGCTCGTGAAAAGTCAGCACATCTCTCAAGATGTGAGTCACCTCAGTAACAACTTAAGGGCCGTTGTGGACACACAGCATGTCTCAGGGCTTCACCCAACTGCAGGTCATGTGAATGGAAGACAGGACCAGGTACAGCTCTGCAATTCAACCAGACTCTTCTCAGAAGATCTCCACAGGGTATGGGTGTGTTGCTGTGATGCACAAACACACACACAGTCTGTGGACTGTACAGCTGAGGGTTTCAGAATTGAGGCCGCTGGGCCACAAAATCAGGCTAAGGCTAGGTACTCAAAATCAGCATCTCCTGAGAACTTGGTAGAAATGCAAAATCTCAGCCCCTACCCCCACCCCCAAATCCTGCTAAATGAGAACCTGCATTTCAACAGTGATCTGTCTGCATTTCAAAGTTGGAAAAGCACAGGATTAAATGAGGAGTCAACAGTTTCCAAGTGGCAAAATCTAGGTCTTCAAAGTGTGATCTTCTGACTCCCAAGGCCAAATGCTCATACAAATCTGCCAGCCATCCTATCAGGTAAAAGTGCTTTCATGTCATCATCCTGGATACCAAAACCCCAGACAGCTGATTCTCCACACCTGTTCTCTATCAGTGGCTTGTCTTGCTTCACACCATGCAGAAGGATTCTTGGCTATGACTTGGTGAAAGAATGAGTTCTAACGCAGGGCTAGTACCCAGGCTGGGGCTTCCCAACTCTCCTTAAATCAAAGCCAACCCCACTGATGCTGTCAATTTCAGCTCACAGCCACCCTGTAGGGCAGAACAGTGCTGCTCCAAAGCATTTCCAAGGCCAAAAGAACTACCTAACAGCTTCATTACGAAGGAGCTACGGAGCTCTGGTAGCATAGTGGTTACCAATCGGGCTGCAAACCCCAAGGTCAGTGGTTCAAAACTACCAGCTGCTCCGTGGGAGAAAGATGAGGCTTTCTGCTCCCGTAAAGATTTACAGTCTCAGAAACCCTGTACAGGGTCACTATGAGTCGGAATTGACTTCACGGCACATCACCACCAGCACCAATTCTTATGGGAAGAGTGTGGTGATTCTGTAGGAAAAGCACAGAACTACTAATCATAAGGGGTCCCTGTGTGGCGCTGTGAGTTAGTGCTCCAGACTGCAAAGGCGGTTTGAACTGCAAGGTTGGTGGTTCAAGCTTACCAGCTGTTCCTTGGAAACCCTATATAGGGTCACTATGGGTCAGAAACGACTTGACGGCACTTAACAACAATAAATAACCATAAGGTTGGCAGTTTGAGCCCACCAGATGCTCTGTGAAAGAAAGATGAGGTTTTTTTTGCTCATGTAAAGATTTATAGCCTTGGAAACCAGGTTGCTATTAGTCAGAACCGACTTGATGGCATTTAGCAAATACAATCTTTAAGGAAGCAGACTGCTACATCTACTGTGGAAGATAGCCAAGCTTTCAGTTAGCAGCCAATTGCTTTATCCACTGTGTTACCAGAGCTCCTTCTACTTCTTGGTGGTGGTGGCTGTATGCTGTCCAGTTGGTTACAACTCACAGCAGTCCTGTATAGAGTTTCCAAGGCTATAAATCTTTATGTGAGCAGAATCCTCATCTTTCTCCTGCAGAGTGGCTGGCGGGCTCGAACTGTTGACTTTGCGGTTAGTCCCCTAACACATAATCCACTACATCCCCAAAGTTCCTTTCCACTTCCACTTGTTGTTGTTAAGTGCCATCAAGTTGATTCGACCCATAGCGACCCCGTATAGGGTTTCCGAAGAGCAGCTGGTGAGTTTGAACCACCGACCTTGCAGTTCATATGGCTTTGCAGTCTGATGCATTAACCCACAGCGCCACACATGGACTCCACTTCACCTTAGGTCCTGGGACTTCTCCTTACTCAGATATTCAAGACTGGTGTGCTAGTTAAGGGCCCATCATTTCATAACTTTCCCCCATCGAAACTGACCTTTCCTGGACCTCATTCCTTAGATGCCTTTAGGCCAGTGGCTGAAATAAAGATACAATTTTACAGTGATCCCAGAGGCATAAGCACCTCCTCGCAAGAGCTGAATCACCAAGGGATTCAAAGGGCAGAGCACCAATTGAGAGGCAGGAGGCTTTGATGCTTGTGTTGATGGTGAGCAGTGTGTAGGGCTGGCTCTGCTTCAGTACAAAGGTTGTCCAAGGAAAAGCCATAGTCACAGTCTTGGGGCTTCAGCGTTCTATCCTAAGCAGAACCCTCAAGACATGACAAGATTTCACTTTAGGCCAGGCCACAAGATGTCATAACGACCACTGGCTACAGTGCCTCCTACTTTTCCATTAGACCAAAGCTACCAGAGACCTGGCTTTTCAGCTTCTTTAGCAGGAAGTGATGGCACCAGATATCACTCTGAGCTGGGGCTGCCCAGTTGGGACATTGTTTTCAGAGCCCTGTGAGAGCCTCCTAAAGTCATGGAGGCTTACGGTGAGAGAGGTTAAGGAGCCCTGGGAGGGATTTCCTGTGCTGTGCCATTTCTTAACTGCTCCCAGCTCTGGTCCACATGTGTGCCTTTAGCAAACCTTCCATGCAGCAGCAGATATACACAACCGTTCTCTCCGCTCCTGACCATCAAAAGACTTTCCATATCCCACCAGGGAGGAACAGACCAGCTCTCCAGGAAAGAGGGCAGCAGGCACCCAGTGAGCTTGCTGTCCCAGGAAGGGAAGGCTCATATGGAAAGAGCAGCAGAGGTTGGAACCTACCGGATGGCAGATACTTGGCTTTTACCTATGCTGCGCATCACAGTAGCCACTAGCTAGTATGAACAATGAGCTGAATAAAACGGAAACTTGATTCATTTACTGGGAAAACTGTATGTATGGTTTGTGGAGCAGTGGGTGACTTGATATGGCTCTTGCAGCCACATTCTTTGTTGTTGTTTTTGTTAAGTGCCGTTGAGTTGGTTCCAACCCATAGCAACCCTGTATATGGTTTCCGAAGAGCTTGAACTGCTGACCTTTTGGTTCAAACCGACTTTGCAGTCCAGCCCATTAACCCACAGCGCCACACCAGAACTTCACGCCTACCAAATGACTGTTATTTGTTATGTGCCTTCCAGTTATTTCCAACTCACAGTGACCCTGTATAGCGTTTTGACCCTGCATAATGTTTCCCAAGTTGTAAATCTGTGAGGGAGCAGAAAGCCTCTTCTTTCTCCCACAGAGTGATAACTGGACTCAACTGGCTGACCTTGTGGTTCACAGTCTACTGCTTATCCTACGGGACATGAAATGGAGGTATTTGTGGACCACCATAGCTTGCTAATAATATATATATAAGGTATGCAGAACCTGTGTGGCGTGGGACCAGGCAACTAGGGTACAGGAGCTTTATCATGGGGATTGGCCAGTTTTGCCATCAGCGAAGTTTAAAATGAGTCATCTCAGAAACAGAGGTGGGGACCTCACCACCATCAAAAATAACCAGGAATGGAGCATGTCATTTGGACCCCAAGATCCCTGCAGACGGAGACTCCTGAATCCAGGAAACATAACAGCTGTGACACAAGATGGCCAGAAGTGGCAGTAGAACCGAGAGAACATGACAGAGAGGGGGGCTTTCCAGCCCACACAGTGGGAAAGTGGAGTTCCTCCTGACAGGAGGCGTGCTGCTGGGGTGTGGTGCTTCCAGGGACTTCATCAGCGGAGTTAGGTCTGCCACCTCACAAAGCAAGAGCTGAATGCCTGCAGGCCAAGGCCGATGGCAGGGTGGCTCTTCATAGGCAGAGTGACATTTGCTCAGGAGTCCTGGTGTGGCGCTGCGAGTTAACGTGCTGGACTGCAAAGTTGGTTTGAATGGCAAGGTTGGTGGTTCAAGCTCACCAGCTGCTCCTTGGAAACCTGTACAGGGTTGCTCTGGGTTGGAACCAACCCAAAGGCACTTAACAACTACAACACATTTGCACAAACAGGGTGGAGGCCAAAGTGCCATGGGGCTTTGAGCTAAAAGAGCTTTGTGACATTTGTCCAAGAAGGCCACAAGGCAAAGCATGTCTGAGAGGAGGACGTCCAGACCCAAGAACTGTATCGGAGTGTTCCTGATGCTGAACTGTAATCAGTTACTTCCCTAGTTAACCCAGAATCGCCAGTCTGTGAGTTCCAGCAGTGAAGTAGAGAGTGGGTGGAGGGAGACATGTCTGAACTCGGCCTCACAGGAACTGGCCTTGGGCTGATGCTGAAGGTGACTCTCCTCCTCAGGTTTGGAAATCTAAGGTGGGGCTGTTCTACCAAAGGGCTGCTATGAATAGAAACTGGCTTGACAGGGAACAGGGTCAAGTGACATAATCAAAGGAAAGCCCAGTAGTCCTGTGCAGGAGGCAATTAGGAAGATCTGCAGGAAATAAGGCAGGAGATACTGGCTGAGGGCAGAGAGGGAAGAGGAGTAAGGGACCAGGAAGAAAAGGATGACAAGTGAAAAATCAACAAGACTTGAGGGACAGTTAGGTGTGAGAATCCAAGAGGAGAAAAACAGGCCTATTCTACTCCAGACCTAAAAGAGGGAGCACAGTGGCTCTGTACGATAAGCACTGGACTGCGAACCTCAAGAACGGCAGTTCAAGCCCACCAGCCACTCCTCAGAAACCCTATACAGGGCTGCTATGATTTGGAACCGACTGGACTTGGCATTTAACAGCCACACATGCAATTCTGTAAACCTGGAATAATACCACGGGGACGTATTACTATTATATATTAATTATGTATTATATATTTTGTATATATGTTGTTGTTTGTTGTTATGTGCTGTGGAGTCAGTTCCAACTCATAGCGACCCTGCATAGGGTTTCCGAGGCTGTAAATCTTTACGGGAGCAGAAAGTCTCATCTTTCTCCCACGGAACAGCTGGTAGTTTCGAGCTGCTGACCTTAAGGTTTACAGCCTGATTCGTAACCACTAGGCTAATAATACATAGGGAGTAACCCCAGTGATGCTGGAAGTGCTCCTAGGAAGGACAGACAAGTCCTGGCATTACAGATGCTGTTGAGTCTGTTCCAAATAAAGGTGCGCCTATGTATGTCAACAACAACGATGTATGTAACAGTACGACTGGGTCAATAGGGGTTTCAATCGCTGATTTTTCAGGAGTAGGTCACCAGACCTTTCTTGTGAGGTATCTCTGGGTAGATTCGAACGTGTACGCTTGGATAGCAGTCAAGCACATTAATCTCTGCATGCCAACAGACTCCTGGTGTAGCTAGGTTGTGTTGTGCCAGTGAGTTGCTTCTGACTCACAGTGATCCTATATGCTAAGAGTAGAACTGCCTTATAGGACTCTCTAGGATAAACATTAGAGCACAAGGTCAGTTTGAACATCAAGGTCAGCAGTTCAAATCTACCAGCCACTCCTCAGAAACTTTATACAGGGTGGCTGTGAGTCAGAACTGACTCGATGACACTTAACAACAATCTTCAGGGCAGTCCTGGTGTAGCACCGTAGGATACACATTAGACTACTAATCGCAAAGTTAGCAGTTCAAACCCACCAGTCACTCCTTTAAAACTCTATTCAGAGTCGCTATGAGTTGGAACTGAGTAGGTGACATTTAACAATCTTTATGTTATGACGCTGTAGGATAAGCACTGGACTGCTAACTGCAAGGTCTTTATGGGAGCAGAACACTTCCTCTTTCTCCCTTGCAGCAGAACACTTCCTCTTTCTCCCTTGAAGCAGAGTGTGGGTTTGAACCAGAAACCTTGTGGTTAGCAGTCTAGTGTTTATCCAAGAGCACCAACAGAATTCCTTAGGCTAGACCCATGTCATTGTTAAGAATTGGTTCTGATGCATAGCAACCCTGTTTAGGGTTTCCAAAGAGCAGCTGGTGGGTTTGAATTGCTAACCTTGTGGTTAGTAATCCAGTGCTTACCCTACAGTGCCACACTAGGACTCCAATGGTGTTTATACAACATCTAAGTCATATAACATCATATTTCACAGGATCGTGGACATTAAGGGACACATGACTGCTGCTTAGTAAGAGAGTTCCAGAGGAGTGAGTCAAGGAAAACTCTAGACTCCAAAGCCCTGTCTCCTTAAACTGACCCTAGGGAGACAGTGCTATCCAGTATAAACATTATAAAAAGGTAATTTTACTAAATATAAATACCTATCTCTATGGGTGTATTAAGGAGCTCTGATAGCATAGTGGTTACGAGTTGGGTGGCTAACCTACAGGTCAGTAGTTCGAAACAAACAGCCATTCCTTGGACAAAAGATGAGGCTTTCTGCTCCCGTAAAGATTTACAGTCTCAGAAACCCTATGCAGGGTCACTATGAGTTGGAACGGACTCCACAGCCATATACCACCACCACCACCACCACCACAATGGGTATTGCATTGAAAAAAATTTTAGTAGGACACATAACAAAATGTTGACAGTATTATCTCTGAGAGCTGTTTATTTTGCCCTGACAAAATGCATAAAGGCATATTGTTATTGTATGCTGCTGAGTTGGTTCCAACTCGTGGTAACCCTGTAGATGGAGAAATCCACAGGGTTTCCTGACTATAATCCCCATAGGAGCAGACTGGCAGGTCTTTTCTCCCCAGGAATGGTCAGTGGGTTCAAACTGTCAACCCTTTGGTTAGCAGTCAATAGCAATTATAAAAGTCAAACATGAGGCTCACATCATATTTCTATTACATAGTGCTACCATGGAGTTCTGGTGTGGCACCATAGGAGAAGCACTCAATCTCAAGATCATTTTGAATTGCAAGGTGGGTGGTTCAAACTCACCAGCCGCTCCACGGAAACTCTATACAGGGTCCGACTCAATGGCACACAACAACAACAACTGTGGAACACTGGATTCAGATCTTAAAAGATGCTTTAACCCTGCATTTTCAGCGTAACAGATGCACCAAACAACAAAACCAAGAAAAGCATATTTGTGGCACAGACTAAGAGTTGTCTCTCTAAATCCAGCTAAGAGATTAGATTTACAGTTAGCTGTGCTCGGGTGACAAAATTGCCTCTAAGATATATAATTGGAAGTATTATGATTTCCAGGAACTCTCCCTTAAATTGCAGTGGAGTGATAAGTCTTCCTTTCCTCTCTCCTCCATCTGAATACCTGGAACAGTGATGTGATGGCTGCTGCTCCAGCAGCAAACTTGGGCAATGAGGTTGAGGGTCAGGGTTTACACATGGCAGGGTGGTGAGCTATCAAGATTCCTGACCTCCCTGCCAATGTCTTCCCCTTGAAGAAATTGGGAGGGAGAGGGAGAAACATCTTGTTCAGGCTAATGTCATTTTGGGATTTTTCCATTACATATGGTCATTGGAAACTGACCTTCGAGTTACTCTGGATGGATTCTATCAGCAAAGACAATTTCTCCTGCAGCCTTTGCATGTCCTTTGAGATGCTTGGGGACTCCTCTTTTGCCATCTTGAAAACCACTTTTGTTTCCTTGGAGACTGACTCTTCTACCAGGGCAGGACAGTCAAGAATTACATGTTGTTCTGTCACTTGTTGTCACTAGAGGAAACAAAAGAAGTTTTCTTAAACCATGAATGTCTCCATTTAAATAGTTCTAGAATGTCTATTATCCTCACACATTATTGCTGGTGGATGGTAACCTGACTCTATCTATCAGAATTTCAAATTGCATACCCTTTGATTCAGCAATTTAGCAATTTATTTTCCAGGAACCTGAAGGAAATAAACAGGTATATCAAAATATATCAAAAAGATATGTATTGCATCTCTGTTTATAATAAATTGAAAAACATTGGCAAGGCGCTAACTATTAGTAGGAAGCTAGTTAACTAAATTAGATTTAAAAAAAAAAAAAGAACAGTCATTTAAGACAATGTGGATGTTTATATAGGGCATGTGAGATGGCCAAAGTGAAAGAAAATAGATCACAAAATCAGACCTTTTGTTGAACAGACACATGCCTTTTAAGGTAGATAATGATATTCCTATGAACTTGGAATAGAACTAGAACGTGATGGAGAAGGACATACAACAAAATATTAACAATATTTCTGAGAGGTTACGTTAATGCCTGACAAAATGCTGAAAAGCACTGAGAAAAATAGCAAGAAAGATGACTCTATAGAGTCCTGGTGTGGCATTGCAGGATAAACCCTGGACTGCTAACCACAAGGTGGGCAGTTCAAATCTACCAGCTGCTTCTTGGCCATCCTATAGAGGATCTCTATGACAGAACGACTCAACCACACTCAACAACAAGGGCAGAAAAGATGAGGCTGTCTGCTCCAGGAAAAAGATTTAGTCTTGGAAACCCTAGATGGGTCATTATGAGTTGGAATCAACTCATGGTAATAGGTTTGAGCTCAAGTTTCACCGCTTGTTTTACTCCCTGTACAAAGCCTTTTCCCAAACCCTGAGGGGATTTTTCTTCTTTACGACCCTCCACTGTGCAGGCTGTCCTCCAATTTACATGCTGCCATAAATCACTCTGTATTTATTCGTGTGTAACTCTTCCCCAAGCAGCCCCCAACCTCCCACCGCCATATTTTTTGTCTTTGAAGCTGCAGCTGACACAGATCTTGGACTGGGGATGTTCCCAGTACTCAGCTCCCCTAATCTCATCTATGTGGTGCACTTACCAAGCCCAGCTCCCCTTACAAGTCTCCTGGGACTTGGGAAATCCAAGTGCCACCCAGCCCGGTTTGGAGAGCATGGGTAAATTCCTCCCGCCACTGTCGTCATATCCCCATCGGGCTTCGAATTCCAGCCTCTCATACTCATCCCACAGAGGATCCAAGAGCTGCTCAACCTCTTCTGTGCCTCTCGGGCTGACCCACATGAACATTTGCCACTCACTGTGTGCCTCCCCTAAACCCCTAATAAAACATCCTTCTGCCTCTTCCACTCCCATCTGGGGGGGCGGGGAGGGCGGGGAGGAGAGCAAACGGCTACCCTCAACATTCCACCCTCAACTTTCCACGGGTAAATGGTTGAGGGGAGGGTACTGCGGGGGTGGGGGTGGGTGCTTCAGGTCCCCTCTCATTCTGGTTCCAATCTCTGAGCTCCTCAGGGTGGGGAGGGGAGGCATCCACGGGGAGGAAAGGAGTGTGATGCCGGTGTAGGGTGCGGGAGGTGAGAAACAGGGGCTCATGGGGCATCAGAGTCGTTCAGGGAGAAGAATCCACCTTTGGTACCAGGAGTTCCTCTCCCATGCAGTGACAGAGGAGGGGGCGGTTCTCCGTGGAGAAGAAAGGCAGGGTAGGGAAAAAGACACCCGTTTTGGCTACTTCTGGGGCTCTCTCTCCAATTAGGAACCCCATGAAGGGGCAGGGTCTCGAGGGTGGGGTGGGGCTGACAACCCTTTTACCAAACCTAGTGGTATGGGGGGGTGTGCATGGCTAGGGGAGAGGATGGGACGAGTGGGCCCTGTTTCCCCATCCCAGTCGATTCTGACTCACAGCGACCCTAGAACACAGAGTATAAATGCTCTGTAAGGTTTCCGAGGCTGTAAATCTTTACGGACGCAGATTGCCTCATCTTTCTGCCTCATCTTCCCCCTTCTCCCCACCGTAGAGCAGCTGATGGGTTAGAACTAACGCCCTTTTGGTCAACAGCCCAACGCTTAAATTACGGCGCCACCGGGGCTCCATCGGGAGGGAGGAGACACCCCTTCTTACTAGACCAGGAATAGAAAGCCAGGCTCCCGCGCTCCTCCTCCCTTTCCTCCGCTCCAGAGGGGTCCAGCCAGCCGGGCATCCTGTATTGCCACCCCCTAGCTTCGCGCTCTCACCTGGTCCCCCCGGGACCGCCGTCCCCAGCCCAGCGCAGCCCCGTCTGCGGGCGGAGCCTCAGGACGCGGAGCCCGAGCAGGAAGGGCCGCGCAGGCGGAGCGAAGCTTGCGTCCTCCGCGCGTCACCACGTTCCCCGCCCCGCGTCCCTCCTCCTCCGGCCCGGCGGGGCGGGAAGGATTTCGCAGGGCGCACCCACGGGCAGTGAGCACCTTAGCAAAGCGACCTGGAAAACGGATGAGGAAACTGGCTCCGAGCGAGTCCCCAGGCTGGGCGCGTGAGTGCTCGGGCTGTCTGTGAGGCAGATGGCCTGGCAGCCAGGAGTGGGCCTTCAGAGTCTTAGGGTCTTCCGTGTCTACATGCCCAGAACCAACTCTTCTGGAAGGGTCTCTGGAGCTCACGACAAACGTGATGGGTGTGACCCCGACTTACAGGTTTTAACTCCTCAGATGTAATTAATTGATAGAGAGCAATTAGATTACGTCTCTATTTATAATATGAAAAAATCAAGGGCCTGAGAGACAAGAGTAGCTAAACCCAAGCCTCTTTTATTAGCAAGGATCCAAGATACAGCCAGACTTCACCCAGCTCCTAAAGCAGAGTTTCTTAACCCTGCTTGACATTTGGGATGGGATACTTCTGTGCTGTGGCAAGTGGCCAAGCACTTTACCCACTAGATGAGGAGTCCTGGTGCTGCAGTGGTTAAAGTGCTCAGCCGCAAATTGACATGGTATGAATCCACCAGTAAATCTACCAAACTCAACTGGGAGAAAGATGTGGCGTCTGTTTCTATAAAGAAACCATAAAAGGGCAGTCCTACTCTGTCCTTTAGTGTTCCTATGTGTTAGAATAGATTTGACAGCAAAGATTGTTATTATCTACTAAATGCCAGTATCAGAGCCCTGGTAACCTGGATTACCAGCTGGGCTGCTAATCTCAAGGTCAGCAGTTTGAAACTACCAGTCGTTCCATGGGAGAAAGAGAGGCTTTCTGTTCCCATAAAGATTTACAGCCTCAGAAACTATACAGGGCCATTATGAGTTGACTGACTAGGTGGCACAAACCACCACCACCAGCTGCCTCATATCCCCACCACTACATACAAGTTGTGACAACCACAAAATGTCCCCATATATTGCCAAATGTCCCCTGGGAGATAGTCTCCCAGAGTTTAGAGACCTGCTGTAGGGCATATGGGTGACAGACAACATGGACTGGGATCGGACTGTCCTGGGCTCTGGTCCCAGATCTCACTGTAATTTTCTCATCTGTGAAACAGAGAGGGATAGACTTGGTTGGCTATTGCTTGGTCTTCTGGCATGTTCCATTCAGGGCCCTTGCTGACCTATGTGTTCTCTGGCCTGTGTTTATTGGTGGTGTTGGTAGGTTCTAACCCATAGTGACACTGTATAGAGTTTCCCAGGAGCAGCTGGTGGGTTTGAATTACTGACCACTGCTTACCTTACAGTGCTTCACTGGGCCTCTTGTGTTTATGGCACAAGAACTATTTCCTCAAAGAGAGCAAATTTCACAGAGTTGGAGTGAGGACTATTGCTGAAACCATGTGGAAGCCGTGTCTGACTTCCTCTGGCTTCACAAGGGAGAAAGAGACTCAAAATCAACCCAAGGCTGATTTCCATGAAGTAGTAATCAGACCTGCTTCCATTCTACAACCTTCTTGACCCTCTTCTGCCACCAGCCATACCTACCACAGCACTCTCTGCTTCACATCGTGGTTCGATAATCCATTGCAATGACCACACAGAGCTGGTAACAATGTGATTATGGGATTTATTAAGGAAGTCAATTCAGGATCAGAAAAACTCAGGACTCAGCAGTTCTTCAGTCAGGAACGCCTCTTGTCTTCCATACTGCCTGCAGGCAAACCTCACTCTTGTTTTCAGCCTCTCAACCATGTAGCCCCTTGACCTCTGACCTGCTTGAGCAAGTGATACAAAGCTTTTCTAGCTAGTCTATGAATGCCCAAAGGGCACATACTAGCAAGTTCAGCTGCAGTATGTTGGATGCCCTACCCAGGAAAAGGATTGTATTTTTTCCCTTTAAAACAAAACAATGCGACCATCATTCCTTGGTGCATGTAGCTGAGTTAGGACCTCCGCTGGGATTTTGTTCAAGAATGTCACCTAGGAGTTCCTATGTGAATCCTTCCTGAGTTCCTCCCAACTCTGGTATTTATAGTCCTGGTGTAGTGGTATTAGATAAGCAATAGACTGCTAACCACAGGCTTGGTGGTTCAAACCCACCAGCTACTCAGAAACCGTATGAGGGTCTCTATGACTCAGAACCGACTCAACAGAACAAAAACAACTGGCATTTTTGCCCGGGTGGCACTGTAGGATAAGCACTGGACTATTAATCAGAAGGTTGGCAATTCAAACTCACCAGCTACTCTTCAGGAGAAAGAGGAGGCTTTCTTATGGCCTCAGATACTATACAGGGTAACTATGAGCCGGAATTGACTCGATAGCAGTGAATTTGGTTTTTTGGTCTGGTATTTTTGTAGATCCTCTCTTTTGGCACAACCTTGTGTTGCTTCTTGCATTGTATACATGTGGTTCTTACTCATAGCAACCTGTACAGGGTTTCCGTGGAGCGGCTGGTTAGTTTGAACTGCCAACCTCATGATTCAATTCAAATGAT